ACTTCATCACTACACGATCTATGCCTGTAACAAAATTGAACATGTTCCCCAAACATTTATACAAATAAAGACATATTTAAAAAACCCCTAAGAACTGAGAGAGGTTGTATGTGTCTGGATCATAACAAATGCAGGGTGGAAGGCAGGAAGGGCAGATGAGGCTGGAGAGGAGGGGGCAGCGTGGTGAGGTCATTTGAGGGCTGCAAGTCACGGCAATAATTTTGGTGTTTATTCTAAGGTTTTTAAACAGGGTGAAGTGACAGGATCAGAAGCACAGTTTGAAAACATCATTCTGTATGTACTTGGGAGAATGAATTAGAGGTGGGTCAGAGGAGAGCCAGGGAAACCTGTTAAGATTCTTTCTGGGTTTCATAATGAAATAATGGTAGGGAAAATGGGGAGAAGTTGCTGGAATAAAGAGACGCTTAGGAGGTAAAACCATCAGTCCTTGGAGATGTACAATGTGGGAAGTAGAGAGGAGAGGGGAGCCTAGAATAGCTTCCAGAGCCAGTTTCAGCAAGTAGACAAATATCAGAGCTGTTGACTGAGACAGGGAACAAGGGAGGTGGACCACATTTGAGGAGAAGAGGTCTTGAATTGGTTTTGAGATGAGTGTGCAGTCCGCTGAGTTCGTATCATCTTTACTCTTCTTGTTTCTATCTAGTCATTGATTTTTCATTGAACACATCGTTATTAAGCCCCTCCTAAGTGACTGAGTGAGATATGCATAGTCTTTCAAGGTGTTTGCATAGTCTAAGAAAGCAATTAAAACGATAGTGCCATCAAGGAAGAAAAAGAAAAATATAGCAGAAATACAGAAGAGTGAAACGTAACCTCAAGGGGGGGTGGAGGTTAGAAATTATGGCAGGTTTGCTGGCAGCAATGTCTCTGATAAAACCTGAAAGAAGAGCTCCTTAAGAAAAGGCATTCCAGTAAGGAGGAGGAGCTTGGGTAGACAGGAGACTGAAGAGCTGGCAGGTGACTGAAAAAAGTAAAAACAGCTCATAGAAGCAAGAGTTACTGAGTTGATTCAGTTAGTGGTTTTTCCTGAGAACAAAGTATTCTCAAGGCTCTTTCCTATTTTGATCATTATTTATTAAACCTTCAACTCTCTCTTCTATTTTTCCTACATTATTCATGCCCTTGCCCCCACCCTACCTCCCACTCAACATACCTAAACTTCCATTATTCTCTTTTATGCCAAGACAAACACAGTAGGAGGCATTCTGTAAACTAAGAAGTTGCCTGGGACTTCGGACTGTATTTGGAAAGATAGGATATCATGTTGTAACTCCCAAAGCTTATTAACCAGCTACATCTAACTAATTTAAATCTGTTAATACTACCGGCAAAGCATCCTTAGGGAATTTTTTTTTCTCCGACTGTACCTAATAATTGTTTCCAACTTGACAGCAAGCATTCTTCAAGTCATGCTTTTACACACTCATCAAAGGGATGTTACCCATTTGGCAGGACAATTTTAAAAGAGAAAGAATTCCCATGGACAATCTTCAAGATTCTTATGTAATTTTTCATCTCCTACTTTAAGATAGAGCTGCCTGCATTTTCTTGGTCCCACTGAGGTCTGGTTCTTCAATTTGCTTCATTCCACCTGTCTCTCTGTATCTCCTTCCTTGCTCCTCCTGTGTTGCAATCTCATCTTCCGTTAAAAACTTTCTTTGGGGCTCGGCGCCTATGGCTCAACTGGCTAAGGCGCCAGCCAC